CCCAGTAGTTGTCCAATATATGAGTAATTAACCATCCAAGTATTTGTTGACATATTATTTCATATATATATATATATATATATATATATATATATATATATATTTTGTAGAGTTTCGAACAAGAATCCAAAAAACTCTACAAACTATACGTTCGAAACTCTACAAAATATACACAAATCCAAGACTCTACCATTCAATATATATATATATATATATATATATATATATATATATATATATTATATATGTATCTATAACCATGTATGTCGTTTTTTTATATTTAAGATTGGCTGTGGATCGAACCAGCGAACTTGGGACCAGTTTGCGCTAGCCAATGTCCGAGCAGATTAAGTCACCACAAAGCCATATTTTGGCAGCATTTATGAAATAATGGTTATTACAGCACTTTTCTCCATAAACAAATCTAAAAATATTATAAACAAATTAAAAATTCCCAAATATTACAAGTTCTTCCTCGTGTGCCAGCGGCCTTAGGTGAGTAGCGGCTTATTGAAATATTGCGAAACAAAAACGATACAAGGATCGTTTAGTTCAGTTCAATCTGATAAGTCGAACTAGTTAAGTGCAAATGGCTTATTTGTAAGCATTGTCATCTCATTATAAATACAAAACATATGTCGAGATAACACTTCGACTATTGCATACGCATTGTTCAGGCTGACGCCCGCAATGCGACGAATAGATTGAGGATTGCCTTTGATTGCCCAACATAAACTTTCAATTTTAAAAATTAGATATACCATATAACATAGGCTTGCTTGTAGGTAAATAGCTACAACGACTGGACCTGAATCAGAGGTTCAGGATTCATTCCTGTTTCGAGCAGCTTGTTACCAGGCAGTAGTGACAAGAATTTCAGTTGAAAATATAGATGTCTAAGTGAAAAGAGACCTGATCCATATTACAGAAACTGTATTAATAATACATCACACATATCTGGGACAACTGCTTGGAACTAGTATTAAGTCAAATCAGCCCAACAGCCTATAAGACTCTTAAGTACTGATTGCTGTTCAAAATAATTACATGAATCAAGAGGCAGAGTATTGAAGAGGCAAAAATTGAATAATATTTTTTGTACTAAGACGTTAAAATGTTTCCACTTCTCTGTTACTCAAAGAAAGAAAACTACAAAGATGGCGCACCACAAAATAATAATAAAAACCAAGAATATACTCTAACGATTCTTCATAAAGCTCGACGGCGTTGGCTGCCTGGCCTGATAGTTCCGGACGCAATATTTTGCGATGTCGACTGAAACTCTAGAGATAGTAAATCTAAAATGATATAATCCATATACTGCAAAACTTTATATAGGTTATAATTTTATCTAACTTTATTAGAAGAAGTTTCTGAATTAAAAATGAAAAATAGTTTTGATGAAGCCGATAAATTTCATTAGCGTTTTATTAACGTATAAGCGTTAAGCTGATTGTTTTTCTGCTCTGCAAATTTATTATCCTTTGAGTAATATATTTAGTTCAGTCACTGATATTTCTGATATAAAACATAGTGAAAAAACTAAAATCATGTAGAACTATTCGTAATTTTAATTTTTTGAAATATAACTTCTTTAGTCGCGACTAGGGTGTAAATCCGTACAAATGCAACGGAAGTGCGTTACGTCAGATAAAATAAGATAAGAGTCGAGTGTCAATGATTCGTCTTTCACTCTCGATGATATCATTCCTATACGGGTCGATTGTGATTAGTCGTCGCGTATGTGAATAGATATCTGTCGTATGCGTAACGGAGTCAACGTTGCATGCGTACCGATATCAACAAGCAAATAGGCATAGATAAATAAACATTTTAAAGTTACATCGTAGTACAAATCTTGATTTAATGAAAAATGCCTGAAACAGAAGAATATTTTACCCTGTCCCCCGTAAACAATCATAATGAAAATATTAAAACAAATCAAGCAAGTTTATTTAAATAATTTGTATATTATTTGTAGTTTCTATAAAACTTTGAAGTTATTGAAATGAAAAATATTTTTTAGGCAAAACAGATATTACAACTGTTCAAAGAATGAGATTATATCGCCAGCGAAAAACTAAAAAAAATACCATCAGTCAATGAAGTTATGTTAATTTTAATTACATGAAGTTCTTCAAAAACAATTATTACATGATGAGTAAAGTTGCAAAAACAATTATATAGAGATTATATATGTGCAAAACAATATTATATAGAGATTATAATAAATGTGTGCATCGCGAGTGTTACCATATTACCATATTACTAATAAACATTATTCAAAGTTCTTATATGATGTATTTATTTTTACTTAAATGTCATCTTGTATCGCGTGTGAACCTTACGCGCACTCTTTTTTTTTTAAATTAGTCTGCTTTCTACCGGAAAATCTGTTATTGTAATTGATATTTTCACTACTATTATTTTTATTATTATAATTGTTTCTCATATAACACATTAAGCGTGACTGATGAATCATGAATGTGAATGAATAATGGTCGGTTCATTGTTAGCAATAGCTTTTGTTTCATTAGGTCAGCGGTTCCGCACCTATTGTTAGAGTTTACCGTAATGAACATATAAATGTTATGCGTAATGAATTAATTATTTTATCAATGGATGATTTAATTAATTCGTCGACAGTTGCGAAACGGCCGGATTTGACCGTGACTACCGGGTTTGCTGAATTATGTTCCCAGAAGCGCCTGTGGTGAAAAGATTTGTGCAATGTATTGTGATAAATGGTCGATTCCGATTATATTTGTGGCTATAAATTAGGCATCGACACTGGCTTTTATTTGCCTATTCTCGGATAACATAGCTATATTTTGTTGCTCGATGTGTATCAAAGAACCGCAAAATTATACATATTGTTCCTCAATGTTGCTTCAGAAAATTCTAGAAATATACACGAAGTTTCAATCGACTTATTTGATTTCACATTACAATATTCTATGATTAATATTAGAATCAATAAGAACACCAATTACAATTTCCATATTCGTACATACATACAAACCGCGCCTATTTTCAAACATGGCGATCCTAGTTCAAACAAAAAGCAATTGATCATTAAGAAAGATGCGTTCGAATAGAAGAAATTTGCGGTATTCGCCAATCCCAATGTACATATGAAATAATGATTTGTTTTATACTTATTGAAATGCTTTATGATAATTATATTTTGTTTTCTATTTATATTTATGCAACTTTAAGGTCATTCACATAATAGATAATGAAATAAGGAAACACATAAAACCCAGCCTACAAAATGCACAAACGTCGAAGTACAATTTTATCATAAATACAACTTTCTTTGATAACATATGTGAAGTTAGGCTTCATGTGTAAAACGCCTAATCGCACAGCAAATACATAGCTTTTTGGCAGTTTTGGCCCCAGAACTTCATACTAAAGTATTGATTTAGTAAATATCATAAATAAAAAAATCTTTAAACCAATCTCTCGTATTATTACGATCATTTCACTTGTTCATTGATTCTGTCTCAGACGACGTGTGCCTCTTTCTTTAGATTTATGGCACGCGAATAAATCTTTCATTTCGAAGCCACTCGCAAAATTAATTACGCCATTTATATTGTCGATAAGCATGAGACAAGATGATAATCTTAACCGATTACTTTCAGCCGAAATTGGGAAGGTACCTTGAAAAGGTAATCGAGACGTATATATTGTGTAATATTAAAACAATGAGAAATGACTTGGATAAAAGTAATCATTAATTCGTTTATAATGTATTATTGATAAATATTCTGTTCTCTTAAGGTATATAAGTAATAATTTATATTCAATAAAATGTTTCAGAGGTCTTTTAAAGGTTAACGTTGATTGACCAGGTAACTGTGGCGCGCACATCAAACAGTTTTCACAGCAAATCATCACAGCATTTCAGGAAGTTCTGGACAACTTGACATTTGGAAGTTCAGAATATATTTAGTTATTTTCAAAAATTTCAATTTGAATAGAAAATGATCACTGTTTTATACGCATGACGACTATACTCGTCAATACACAAAACCTGCCACTTTATAACGAGTACATTCGTCAAACACAGTCAACTGGGTAAATAATAACAATAATAATAATCTTGCTTAAAGTTAGTTATTTGAAACTTATGTAATTATTAACCCAACATTTTTTTTTATTTTGGATATAATTTACATCTGTCCAATGGAAATTAGGTAAATTTTATGAATAACAAAATAACAAAGAAGCTGTCTGCAAAATAAACTATTGAATGCTTGAGAGAGTGCACAGTTGCAATCTCTCCTAATTTAAGAAAATATTATGATCTAGATTGACTTGGAATGCCAGTTAGGTCCAAAGGCGTTTTCCTTTAACCCAACATAAATAGAACCACAATCAGTACAATTCTTTTTTATTGTTTGTCAAGTCATTTTGTGACCTTATCAATTATATCAATTATATTTCATTAAAGAATTAATTTAATACTATATCATCAAGATAATTACGACTCTAACAAGAGTAGACAGTGGTGAAATTATTATATTTATCTGAGCAGTTGAAATAAAAGTTACCATAATAAGTAAAACTATCTATATAAGTCAATTTTGAAATTATAGTGATTAGAATAATGGAATATAGACAAAAATGGACTGAATAGTAAAGTAAATTTTACAGAAGCAAAAATTATGATCTTTATAAGTGTCCTATCTATGTAAAGCCTGAGGTATGACTCTGAATAATTAGATTAGCTGAATAATAGACATTAACGGCAAAACTGAAGAATGTGGTTATATACATTTGATACTTTGATAGATTAGATAAATCACGATCCATAGTTCAATAAACTAAAAGTGAAAGATTTGCAAAAAATCTAAAAAGTAACAAGAAATTACAAAATCCTTAAACAATTGGCTGTGGCATGTTATTATCAGGTATTTTCTCATGGCGACAGTAGCTCTCAGAATCCCAAGCAATAAAAAATAATTCTATTTATTAAATTAATAACTTACCGTGATCGGCATGTCATGACTAATGTCGCAAGTGTCTAGACGTCTCTTAAATCTTAAGACCGTGTGAGTCGCATTCTCGTAACCTAGAAGAAGTTGATAATCCTGCGAAGGATCAACTTCAGGTTCACGGTCGTATCCAGGCTTAACATGACGATCCTGAAAATATAAAAGAAACATTAGATAATTAATAGAAAATTCAAGCCTGCGATTAAAAAAATTAAGGTTGTGGTGGAGTATAACTCACAATTAGAGCAATTTAGAACATCCACCACAAGTTATGAAAATTTTAGACAGAAAGAAAGACAGATAGAAAGACAGAAAGGCAGACAGAAAGACAGACAGAAAGACAGACAGAAAGACAGACAGGAAGACAGACAGAAAGACAGAAAAAAAGACAGAAAAAAAGACAGAAGGAAAGACAGAAAGAAAGACAGAAAGAAAGACAGAAATAAAGACAGAAAGAAAGACAGAAAGAAAGATAGAAAGAAAGACAGAAAGAAAGAAAGACGGAAAGAAAGAAAGACTGAAAGAAAGAAAGACTGAAAGACTGAAAGACTGAAAGACTGAAAGACTGAAAGACTGAAAGACTGAAAGAAAGAAAGACTGAAAGACTGAAAAAAAAAGAAAAAAAATCTGAGTTATGTGATTTTAATCCTGGTCATATTTTAAATTCCTGCAAGTACCTACTTATATAAATCAAGTGACAGAGTTGTAATTTATATGATTTCTTGTACTAATTTGTAGATAAGATATGAAATGGTCTTACAAAGCGAACGTATATCACTATATAATTGCACTGAAACACGTACAGGATACTGTGATAATTATATATCATTTTCTGGGTAATTTTTCTTTTCCTACCGCCGACAAAAATTTTGAAATGCAGGATATGTTTTTGCATCAAGTCTCGTTATAAAAAGGGAGAGTTGTTGAGTTGAGACTGGTTTTGCAGATAGTTATCTGTTTACTGAGATTGAAAGTCATTTAAAATTATTAGACAAAAAATATACAAAATTAAATTTAATTTCAGAAATTGTTTCATTATAAATTAGCATATATAGCTATAATTTAACACACCCAAATAAAGCTGCAGAAAAAAATAAAAACTGAAATGTTTTATTATTTTTACCATCAGCAGTATTTTACAAAGTCATGAAATTGAATACGTTGTAATTCCCATGCCCGCGCACCGATATCAAATTTTTGATTTATGTACGGTTTATAAAAATAATCACGAGGAAATTTCATCATTACTTGTCAGATGACTTAAGACCAGAGTTGATTTAAACATAATGATATGTTATTATTGAATTATGGACGTAGTATCGTAATAATGGAAGAATTTGTAATTATTTTTAAGCCGACGGACGGCCGACGACGCAGGAATATTATCATGGGATTGCTTATTTGGTTAAAGTGGTCAGAAAATTTATTCAGGATTGTTTTATTGACTGATTCAATCAAATTGAACTTTATAATAAACTAGTGGGGTGCATGGCATTGTGCCTTAAGGCGAATTACTGGAATTTTCGGTACCTTAATTAAAAATCTTGGTACGAAACCAAAAAAAAATATACAAAATGTGTATACATTATTAAAATCTCCATAAAATATCTGATTTTTATATGATATTCTATATTTTATAGAATTTTATGTACATATGTGCAATAAACATTTTTGACCGCTAAATGACATTTTTTGAATTATTTTTATTGAGAGTCCATAACTGCTGGACCTGCCTTCTCAAAAATTTAATCAGTTCTTCATCTTGTCAATACAAGTAAAATGCTTTTTGAGTTATTAAAATCGGACGCTACGTTCTCTTAAAAACTGAGTTACCGTTTTTGGCACTTTTTGCCCCGTATCTTCGGAACGGCTAGACCTGCCTTCGCCAAAAACTAAGCAGCACGTCTCCTTATCAATACAAATCGTATGTTTTTTGAATTATTCAAATCGGTTGATCGATGTTCCCGAAATCGTCGACGAAAATTTGTATCCGCACACACATACACGCACACACATACACACACACTTACATCCATTTTTTAAGGTATGCCAAAATGTTCAAAAACCTTTGAAACGTAAAGATATATAAAAAATTTCATTTTCGATTTTTTTGCGATTATTATAACTTACCCTACGGGAAGTTAAAAAAAAGATTTTCCTAATCTTGAAAATTTGATTTTCAAAGACAGTACAGAAAGTACTGTGGTTTTTCATTAGCAGTGAAGTGATCTAATAAATATTCCCTATGATAAAGTGTAGATTCTCCATTGTGTTCCACAATACAAATAATTTAACTCCGGTTTCACATGGGACTAGACACGCGATCGATGTCGCCTGCTCCGAATACCGACTTGTAAGCTCCGGTGATAAATGAGCAAAGACCGGAACCGAAGCGATGGATTAACTAACGAGAATCCGGAAAAATCGAACTAGAGATTCTTGAAGCCGCTGAGGAAAAAAGAAAACCACCGATGTAGACGAAGAGAAATAGAGCGAATGTCTACTATGTACGAGGACACTTTCCGGAAAATAATTTGTATGGTAGATTTTGTTTTGAAACAACTCCGGGTCGTATTGGCGTTGATTTAGCTTATCATTTAATTTAAAGTTTACAAAAGTTTTGCTTCGGTAGAAAAGAGTTGCATTAGATGTATTTATAGAAATGCAATAGAGTAGAGAGAGGAGAGAAGGTCAATGGTCAGTGGATGAAAAGGTCCCCACCACGATTGTTTCGAAAGCAAGTAAAGTAAGGCATTTTTAACAATACTATTTTAAAGTAGTGGCAAAAGATGCTATCATGAAATAAGCATATTGTCAATTAGGCAACGGAAGTATTCTTAACGTTTTAGCAGTGTTATTTAGTTTACGATTATTCCATCTTCAAAACAAGTGAAGTGTGGCATTTTTAACAATACTATTTTAAAGTAAAGGGCAAAAGATGTGTAAACAGCCAGTCGCCACAGGAGATAACCTTAATGGCCATATTGCCAATTTTGTAACAAAAGTATTCTTTTCGTTTTCGTTTTGAGCAGCGTTATTTAGATTATGATACCTGGATATAATTTTCAAATATACATTAATTCGTCCATCACTGTTATCTCGAAGACAAGTAAAGTATGGCACTTTTAGCAATACTATTTTAAAGTAGAGGGTACTGGTTGTGTAACCAGCCCTATCGGGCCAAATTGTCCATTTATAACGATCTTTTTTTCATTTTGAGCAGTGTTATTTCATTTACGACATCTGGATATAATTTTTAAATATACAATAACTAGCCCATCACTGTTTTTTTTAAAACAAGTAAAGTATGGTATTTTTGACAATACTACTTTAAAGTAGAGGCCAAAAGATGTGTAAACTGTCAGTCGCTATCAAGAGACAAGCGGTCTATTTTGTAACAAAAGTATTCTTTTTGTTTTCGTTTTGAGCAGTGTTATTTAGTTTATGATCCCTCGCTATAATTTTTAAATATAAGTACATTGTTCAGTTATGTTATAAATTGTATTGTTATTTTTCAGTTATTTTCAGAAGCTTTTTTAATAACCGCTAGAAATGCTTGCATGTGATTGAGGTAAAAAGATCCACCACATATCGGCAAGATGTAAACAGAAATAAAGTAGTAAATAATCAAGTGAAATAAGTTAACAAAGAAAATTTTACCAGATTATACGAGAGATTAAATTACTAGTTATCACACCTCTAATTATGTATTATTTTGCTTCATATAAATGATATATGGTTATGGTTATATTTTGCAAAAAAATGTGCCCCTGAAAAATGCAAACTGAAGTTGTATATTTATTTTATTTGTAATAAATGCATTTCAAGAAACATTGAGTCTTATTATGAAAGATTAAATAGAGAATAAAGCAAGATTTTTTACAGTAATAAGAGTTGATGAATTTTTTTAACATTATATATTTGTTTCTGAGTTTCGTATTCAACTTCATGCCTCTCTATTCTATAAAAATAATTAAAATATTAATTCAAAAACAAAAGTCGGTTTACATAAACCCAGCTAAACTCATACATATGTAATTTCCATAATCCCTACGTCAACATCCAGTTGCCACGACATTCAACTACTCTATCCTTTGTCCTTCATAATTTTAATTCCCATAACCGCATACTCGCATGAAAATTCATTTTACACACAGTTCAGTCGTTCAGTCAACGAAGGTATATTTTATAAAAGCGTATAAAAAACACAACCGGTCGTTCGTCAAACAAAAATCAGATTTTGCCTCAGTTGTTCGGAAAAACAAGCCGATATAAAACAAGCATGCACTCGGCTAATGAAAATTTCTTTCTATCATTTTTCCCGCGCTTTGTCGGTCTTTCTAGGCAGTTGAGGTGAGTCGTTCCCGGAGCTGCCGGAGTTCCCGGAGCGGTACCTACGTACGTGCCTGTCATAACCACGTCGAGAAATTGCCATTTTCCGTATTGCCATGAATATTACAAAACAAAGCGTGCGCTACAAGTAATCTTTTATTGAAAATACGAAAAGGCATGTCATGTAGGATACTAGTTGGCGGTTAACGAAAGGGCTGATGATAAGTTGTAGAAGATATTTAAAAGTCAAATGATAAATTGGGTTTACTGAACTGAGACAAGTTTTTTTATACATATGTATATATAATAGTATAAATAAATATAGTGTATTTTTTGCATTATGTGGCTATGAACGCAGAAATGCGTTTTCATCAATAAATTCTTATATAGACAGCTCTAGATACATTCTAGCAAAAGATCTCTTCATTGAAGGAGTCCAATAAACGCCATACATAACATTAACATGATATGTATCCTGATTGTCTAATTAATTAAAATTTACAAAAATACCATCGTGATATTTTACTTTTTTAAAGCTAAAGTCAAATTACTAACTACATAAACGAATATTAGAATGCTTTGGAATTTTTTAGTATACAGTACTTGGAAAAAATAAATTGTTGACTTCCCTTACTATCCCAAATCTATGGTCGACTGTAATAGTAAACGTGTAAACGAACTAAGTAGATACTAAGACACATTTTTTAACCAGCTAGCAGTTGTAGTTTACATTTTTTTAAATTTCGATAATGATTCAGATTTTAATCTTAATTCTGAGTAAAATTTTTGAAATTCAGTAATAATTTTAACTTTGCAGT